TGAAAAACCCACCTGAATGACATCATAATAAAAACAAATACAAGAATAATTTCAGAAAAATTATAAAAAAAAAAATCTCGGAGTACTTCACTTAAAAAAGTCTGCAGTTGATTTGTTTCCGTATTTAACTAGTTACATCACAATAAAAGTGTGCAGATAATATAATAAGAAGTCATAGCAGTCATTTACATATTTTATGAAATGACTGGAGTAATTAAATGTTTTTACATCAAGGCGAAATGCAACATAAAAGTTCACAGAGTTCGGTTTGTTCTGGAGGTAAATAAAGGTGAGCACTGAACTGGGTCCAGACAGGGAACAAATGAGTCCTTGTAATGGATTTTGAAGCTAAATGTAGGTTAATCCGGTGCACTTATTTACCGTAAATTACAACCACGATCACCCCCTTTAGTGTGGCGACGAGTTTAGCAGCGGTAGGTCACCTTTTTCAGCTATTCCAAGTTACAAACAGGAAAACTATGGTGGTTATATCCACTAAAATACATTATCCAACACGCCCAGTTCATATAGTGAGAGCATTAGAACTAAACTTGTCTAAATGTTCGAGAGGAAGCCGCTAGCGGAATGCTGTGAATTTTTCAGGAGTTGAAATAGTCGAGAAAAAAAATTGAACATCACTCACCTTTACTTCCAAGAAGCGCCCGGGAAGTTTGAGTCGACTTCACCGGCGGGGAAAGCTGTTCTAAGTCGGGTAATAAGTCCGCTGTTTCCGCTGTGCAGCTGGCTGGGAGAGGTTACGGACAGAGGGTTTTCCTCGCTTCTTGCCTGCCTGCCAGCCTCCGCTTCTTTCTCACTCACGTCGCCTGTTCTGTTTCCCCCTCCTCCTCCTATCCACATCCAGCATTCCAATATGGCTGCCGCAGGGAGCGATTTGTATGGCAGACCGTTGTAACATATAATTAAATCACATTCCCATCTGTAATTACTTATCGATATATCATAATAGCACATATTCTTGTCAGAATAGCATTATCACAAGTCAGATTTGAAACAAATGACATATACAATAGCATATCCATTAGTAAAAATATATGTCATGGTCTCCACAGTAGTGAGAATGCCACTAAAGCTGTCATAATAGGATTAAAAAAAAAACATCTTGAGTCTAATTTTTATATATTTGTGTTATCTCTGAAAAAATAAAAAACACTTAATATACATCATTCAGTACCAAAATAACTTTATCATTTCTTAATAAACAAGCAATCACCAGAGTCGTGKTTTGTTGCCAACATAATTACGAGTCATTTGTTTACATGCAATCAGGGAAAAAAAATTAATTCTTTTTCTCTTCTTCTGAAATGAAACTTTGACTAAAGACTGTACAAACGAAAATTAATTAAAGTAAAGTAATTTTAGAAAATAAACTGAGTGCTACAGATAATTAAAACAAAAGTAGATGTTTACAAGATTTATATTTAATGACACGTTAACCCTTAATATGAGAAAAATCACAAATATTTAGCAAATTTTGTTTCTATGTACATGACATCTTTCTTTTAAAATTAGGTCTAAATAATAACAAATATCCAATGCTCAAGTATTTGCAGTGTTAATTTGCTGTCCAAAATGTTTCCTTGTTTATTTGTTTGGCCGACAGTGACACCTAGTGGCAATTCTGTGTTACAACGTGGAGGACAAACTATTAGCATGCAAACATAATTAATAAAGCAAATACACAAATAAAAATCGATTTTTTTTTTCCTGTCATGAATCATTGGCTGAAATAAATTTAAAATGTCCGATACCAGACTAAATATAATTGAGCAAGTAGAAAGCCTCATCAAGCYGATGAGACTTGTGATTGTTTTTGGTCTCCAGCTGTGCATCCYACAGATGTTTTGCATGATTTTATGWCCCTTTGTTTGCCATTTTAAGCAYTTTCTGATYGTTTTTCTTATCCKGATGTGGTTKGTATAGAACATTTTCTGCACCTCTTTTCAGTCATTTGCATTTAATTCAGATGGTTTAGTGTTAGATGCTGGCATTTTGCCCTGTGTAGCCAAAATCCAAGCTTTAACAATCCAGATTAATGAGAACGATTATGACCTGCTGGGGCGGGGGAAAGCTGCCATGGATGTGTGGATGCTGCAGCCACACTCTACTAACCAATTATTTGGTGAGCAGGGATGTTGCTGTAATTAGGTCACAACCCATTCAGTAAACATATACTGGTAAAAATTTAGGAATAAAACTAAAATGAACATTTTGTCTAGAACCATCTAGAATAAGACTAAATCATTAGAATTGTACAGAATGTGAAGTACATGTGAAGTTTGAAGTTATGTGAAACTGCTGAATTAAACTTCTGGCATGTGCAAGACAAATCTCAAACATACACACACACACACACACACACACA